AGTGAATAAATATGCTAACCTATTAAAAGTAATCTTGAACTAGAAATCCAAAGCAATGACTAATGTATTCAGCAAGGAAGCACATATCATAATATCTTTTAACTGTACTTTTAAATTAAGTGCATGGGATCAATGTAATGCTGAATTTGAGACTAACACACAGATTCACATAGACAGGTACCCAGACAGAGGTCTTATTTAATGTAGAATGAGCTTCTACTCCCCCTCTCCATCTTCCCTCACATTGGAAACTCTTGTTATTTTAGCTCATGGGCAGTTCTAAGTTTGCATGGTTCCAATATTTACAAATCTCTTGCTACAGTTTAGTTAATTGACACCAGTCCCCATCAACATAGTTCAAATTTCAGTTACCACGGAATATTAACTGTAATTACATAAAATATAAATCACAGCTAGCTCTTCAGTCCACAAATCACTACAGAAGGAACAGATGCTCATCATGATTAGTGATCAGTTATGTCACTTTTTTCAAAGTTTGTCAGTGACTGGTTCCTTCAGACGCTTGTTCAGTTTAAGCACAGGCAATAAACTGTGTAGTTGTTTTACCTCCTTGCCTGCTAGTGATAAACCCATGTGACATTTTACAAAAAAAAGAGGGAATGTGACAAAATTGGCCATTTCAAGATGAAAGTGTAGCAAAGAAATGACACGTGGTGAAAGTTGAACTGAACATAAATGGAGTTACAGAAAAAAAAGCTAACTGTAAGAATGCTGACAATGCCAGCATTTGATAGACTCTAGATAAGCAGCCAGAGGACTTTGTGAAGGTGAACTTAACATAAATGGGGAAAGTGGTTGTGACAAAAAGTATGAAGATGGCCCAGAGAAAGTGCCACCAGCAAAACAACTTCATATTAAAGGAACTCTCGGAGCTGTTTTACAAAATTGAAAGTACAAAGGATATAATGTTGGAAGCTGATCCAAACTTAGAAAGGAGTATGACAATTAGCTAAGGCACAGAAAAGATGCTTGCTTGATCATAAGTTATACCATGAGAAGAAGACAAGCACAAGTGCTGTTCAAACTATTCTTGATAAGTTTTTTTACAAAGAAATAGGACATTCTGATATCCAATGTTTTCAATGTTTTAAATTACAGTTTGCTGAATAGATACTAGTTTTACTATTTTTTATTTCCCACTTACAGCTGATAGTAAGACAGATTTTAATATTTTGACAATTTTGAAAGGTCCTGGAACAAATACAACTTTTCCCCATTGAGTAAGATCACTTTGAACGGTTTTAGCTTGCGCAAGTCATTTTCAGATCCCATACTTGTATGCAATTCCAAGACCGTACTTCAAATGAGGTAAGAGGCAGCTCTCTTCCCTCTACTCTCTAACATGATCAATGCATGCATCTGATGCATCTGGGCATAGGACTAAGCAGGATGTGACTATTTTTGATCCTGTACTCTCCATTTTTGCCCAAACACTCACTGGTGTCTCTCTGCAAACTGGTCAAACCTGGAACTGGACCTTGAACCACCAAAAGCCATCAAGTTATTCTTTTACTAAAAACCCTTCAGTGGCTTCCAATTACATTTGGAACAAAATCCTTATCCTGGCTCCGAAGTTCTGCATGTATCCTTCCCAAGTCTCCATCCTCATGCCATACCATCCCCTGCCCAGCGCCCTCCCACCCTACCCCACCCCTAAGGCACCTTTCAGGTCCACAAACTCGTGGGCCTCTCATTGTGGCTCCTGAAGCTGCTGGAAGTTCTTTTCTGTCATTACCCTCCTTAACCCCTACTCATCCTTTAGGTCTCTGACTTTAGGTCTTTATAGGTTAGGGCCCCTTTGCGTGCCCTCACAAAAGTGCCTATACTATGCCTTTATAGCCCTTATGACACTGTGTCTGATAAATGATTCAATGGTTCTCCCTCCCGCAGGGCCGCATTAAAAATTTCTTGGATCTTAAGCACTTTTCCCTTCGTGAGGCACTTCCTCATTAAAATAAATAAATAAAAATTAACTAATAGATTTTCGTGGGCCCTAAAACTTTTTCTCTGATATAAGAAAAAAAATCAAAACATGTTCTTTGGCCCTAAAGGGTCACTGTTTTCTTGACTTTACAAGAGCTTCAAACATTGTCGTGGCTCCCCCAAAGCGTCGAGGGGTCTAGGCACGGCATCTACCGTGCCTGGCGGATTGGGAGGCCAGCCCTCAGGCCTGGGAACGCCCGCCCAGTTGAGGTGGCGTCGCGGTCCTCAGACACGTGCGCGGAGGGGCGTCTCGGGACCGCGGGGGGTTAGAACCAGTGGGCGTCGGTACTGCCCCGGCCTGGACCACCAAAACCTGCCTGAAGGCGGCCGGAGCTCGGCCCAAGCCCACCTGCGAGGCGCTCTCCGCCGCGCTCTCGGGGCGGTCCTCCCGCTGAGGCCCTCAGCCCTCCTCCTGCCCAGAGGCAGGGAAAAGTAAGGGTGTTCCCCCTTCCTTGGGAAGGCAAAACCCCCATTACCTGGTCCTCCGGGATATCGGAGTGTGCGCGCGCTGCGGAAGGCGCCCCCCGTCAGGCGGACGGCGGCTGCGCGGGGCTGCTCACTGCGCGCGCAGCCTCAGGGGCCGCCTCAGGCTCTACCTCAGCACCGCAGTCTCCAAGTCCTTGGGCGCCAGGGAAATGGCCCTACTTTAGCCCTGAGATAGAGTTTTGGATCTCTGTTGAGGATGTTATGCTAAACTTGACACTTCCTCGTTAGCTAATTCCCAACCCCAATTAAATATTCCAGTAACGCCCCCCCCGACATTCCAGTGGCACCCCCATTGTGTCCTTAGCTTTAACCTTTCTCTTCCACATCGTTGATTCACTTATTCAGTCGGTCACTCTTTTATTCAGTAAATACTTGTTGAGGGCACACTATGTGCTAAGATTGGGGTTCGGTGGACACACACTGGTCCCTGCCCTCATGGAGTTTAATCTACTTTCAAGAAGCTCTTTCAAGTCTTCAAACCTCTACATTCCAAGAGGGTCTGCCCCTCTCTACCCCCATCCCAACCCCTCCCTGCTCATTTTCATTTGCTTGCTGTTGATTCCTACAGTCCCTTTGACAAAATCCAGTGGAGATAGGAGTGTCCTGGTGGCTTGCTGTATCAATCTCAAATGTCTATTTTCCCTTCTAGACTAAGCAAGTTGAATTCAGGAGCCGTGTTTTGTGTGTCTTTGTGCAGGGACCGTACTAATTTTCTCTGTATCGTTACTGTTTTAGTATATGTACTGCCCAAGGGAGTACTACAAACCATATTTTAATCATCTTCTTACCTCTGGTACTTTAAAAATGCCTAGCATATAGTAGGTCCTCAATAATATTGAATGAATAAACCAGAATGTGCACTTTAGAGAGATTACCCTGATGGCAATATGAAAAGGGAGAGATTGGAGGCAGGTTTTGTTGCTGTCGTTTTAAATGAAACTATTGTATCATCTAGGTGAGCAATAATAAAGTCCTGAACTATGACGATAATGGAAAGAAAAGGACAAGTTTAAGTTATTTATGAGGCAGTATTAACAGGACATGATGACTGCTTACATGTGGATGTGGTAGCCAGCCTCCAGGATGGACCCCTGCAATCCTTGTATTCCACTCTTGTGTAGTCCCTACCCACAGTGCATGAGGGTTGGCCTGTGGGACCGAAAGAATATGGCAGAAGTTACTATATTTTACTTCTGAGGCTAGATTATAAAAGACATTGTGACTTTCACCTTGCTTTTTTGGATCATTTGCTCTGAAGAAGTAACACTATATTCTGAGGACATTCCAACAACCCCATGGAGAGGTCCATATGGAAAGGAATTGACACTTACTGCCAACAGCCACTATCAACTTGCCAGGCATGGAACTAAGCCATTCTGGAAGTGGATCGTCCAGCCCTAGTCAAACATTCAGATGACTGCAGCCCCATCCAGTAACAGGACTATAAGCTCTTTTTTTTTTTTTTTAAGATTTTATTTATTTGTCAGTGAGAGAGAGTGAGAGAGCACTCAGGCAGGGAGAGTGGCAGGCAGAGGGAGAAGCAGGCTCCCTGCTGAGCAAGGAGCCCGATGCGGGACTGGATCCCAGGACCTTGGGATCATGACCTGAGCTGAAGGCAGGTGCTTAACCAACTGAGCCACCCAGGCGTCCCAGGACTATAAGCTCTTGAGAGACTGGGAGCTCGACAACACAGCTAAGCTATTGCTGAATTCCTGACACAGGGAAACTGTGAGATAATAAATGTTTGAGAGATAATAAATGTTTATTGTTTTAAGCCACTAAATTTTGATGTTAATTTGTTACATTTGTTATGTAGCCTAGATAACCAAAGAGTGGGGGATGAAAGAGGAGAAAGCAAAGACTACCTGCAAGGCTATAAATTGGAGTACTAAGTGCTTGAAAGAGGAGCAGGGAGGGGTTGGGATGGAGGAGATAGCGCATTATTTTCAGGCTCTGTGTTTGTTATGTCTGTAGGATTTCCAAGTGGATATATCCATAGGTAGTCTTTGCCCCTCGCCTCAAAGGCCTACTCATCCTTGAACACTCAGTTCAGATGTCACTTCTGTGAAACCTTCCTGATTTGCTCAGGCAAAACCTAAATCTTCTGAGCATTTATTTCACATTATTATATAGCAAACATAAATCATTTTGTATTGCAATTATCTGTTTGCAGTTATTTGTTAAATGCTTGCTAAAATAATACTTTTAAGAAATTTGGTGTACCCATTACACACATATTTTTCCTATTATTACAGATAACGGGCATTTGAGCTTTTGGAGCCGACTGAGCAAACCCGACACGGGAAGATCTGAAGCCACACCTCCAGCCTGATTCTGAAGTAGAACTCCCACCTATACCTAGGTCTAACTCCTCCTGTACCTGGGTTGGGCGTCTCCGCTCCTTAGCTCCGCCCCCACCCAACTTCGATTGGCTGGAAGAGGAAATCGGCTCGACCATTAGTCCTTTCTTGAAGGGGCGGAGCCAGGTTCGTTCTCGTCTGGCTGACGCAGGCCGAACCGGACCGAGGAGACCCGAGTGGGGCCGAGGCCCGCGGCCCCGCGGCTTTAAGCGCAGGTGGCAGGGCGCGCCCCACCCAGTGACCAGGCGGAGCCAAAGATGCTGACTTCTGCCACGCTGCCCCTCCTGGGCTCCCAGCCGCCTCCGGCCTTGCCCTTCCCGTTGCTGCTGCTGGCGGTGCTGAGCGGCCCGGTATCCGGCCGCGTCCCCCGCTCGGTGCCCAGGACCTCGCTTCCTATCTCCGGTAAGGCGTGGGCGCCCTCGCCCTCAGCCCTTCGCACGGCGCCCAGGCCCCGCCTGCAGGTGCCCGCACCCACCTACCCTCCCTACGGACCCGGACAGGCGCTCTGGGGCCCCTCGGCGCAGCGCATCGCGTCCCGCGCCGCCCACGCCCTGTCAGGACCAGGGCGGGACCCCCACGCGGTGCTGCTCCACCGCATCGTTCTCCCGCCTCGCGCTTCGGCTCCCAAGACGCGGCCAGGCGGCCCCCGCGGCCCCTTACTCGCAGAACCGCGGGAGGGTTAAGCCCCTCACCGTGCAGACGCGGACACTGAGGCCCAGGGAAGGGATGGGGGTTTCCTGAGGTCGTCCATTTCGGAGTTCTCTCTCCCTTATTGTCTTCCCAAGCATACACCTGTGTCCCTCACGCCAGCTTGACACCCGTTCTTCTTCCAAACTCATTGGCCTTTCATTCTCCTCCAGCCACCCATCCTTCTCCAGCTCAGCATTTCCATCTGCCCACTTCTCAAATTCATTCCCTTATCATCATTTATATCTCCCTGCAAGCTTTTTGCCCTTCTGGTAGCCCTCCTCTCCCTAACTCACTTCCCAGGCCTCTCCCAGCTCAGACACAACTCCCATTCTCTGATCCCTCTTAACTCCTCAGCATTGCCTGTTCTCTCTACACGTTCCTTACGTTGAGTGTTGAGAAACCGTTGACTGAGTTGATTTAAAATTCTGTTTAAATGATTTCTAAAATCTTCAGAAGAAAAAAAAAAAGGGAGGAAGGAGATTTGGTCCTTTCAAAAGACGTGGAAGAAGCCAGGAGATGCCACAAGGTTAAAAATGGTCATTGGAGTGATTCACACTTCAGTGCTGTCTCCTGAGGTGAGCATGAGCATGGCCACTGACCTTGTTTTCTTCTCAGTGGACAATGAGTGTTGGCACCTTGTGCAGAGAGAACCAGTGAAGCTGAGAGGACAACCTGTTGGCAAAACCTGACAAGTGGGTAATAGTAATATAGAGTCTAAACTTCAGACTAGTGACATGTAGGGTTGCTACGAATCCAGAAGACAAAGTTGTGGTCAGAGACTGGGGTTTGTTTGTGCTGGGGCAATAGCCACAAAATAGAATTGAGGTTGCCTGCCTGGGTTGATAACCAGAAATTCAGAGAAGTCTAGATAGCAAGGTGAAACAGAGTGGGGGATGAACGGAGGTTGGGTATTCCAGGGCTTATAATGAACATGAGAGAATAGGCAGGTACAGCATAGACATGAGTTTGTGGGAGGATGGGGTGGGTGGGGCCCCATATATCAGCACAACTGGGAATGAATGGCTTGGAGCCATTCTGCCTGTCTTGAGGGTGGCTGAGCAGATGAAGCAGGTAGACCAGAGCTGTGTTGGTGCAGGGATAGGGGCCCCAGAGTGAGCTAAGAACGTAAATTCATGCTAACTTATTTGTCATAATATTTATTTTTTTTAAAGATTTTATTTATTAGAGAGAGAGAGAGAAACAGCATGAAAGGGGAGAGGGTCAGAGGGAGAAGCAGGCTCCCCGATGAGCTGAGAGCCCGATGTGGGACTCGATCCCAGGACTCTGGGATCATGACCTGAGGCAAAGGCAATTGCTTAACCAACTGAGCCACCCAGGCGCCCTGTCATAATCTTTAAATAGAGTTTTGAATGATGATATGAAGTTTAGATTTGGCCCATATGGAGCACATGCCTAAGAAAGGAAGAAAGGAGCCATTTTTTTATTTTATTTTATTTTATTTTATTTTT